GCGGGCGTCGCAGCTGGCTCGGCAGCTGCTGCCGCGCAGTCCGCGCTTTACGGAGGCGCCACCACCGGTGCCTTCTCTGCACTCCAAAGCGCCGGAGTCCTCGGACTCGGCACCGTGGGCACTTCTGTCGCCGCAACCGCTGGCGCAGCATTGAGTAAGCTCGGCCAATCATACCGAATCGCGGGCTGGACGGACGCAGCCGGACACAGGAACGCACATACATGGCTCGGCGGGCGTGGCTCAATACACACTTGCTGTTCCTGCAGGTGGCCTGGCCGGGGCCGCGTTGTCCAGTCTGTAACAACCAAGAGCAGAAGAGGCAGCCGTGCCTGCGACTCGAACCGCGTGCCTGGTGGTAAAAAGTCGAACGAGAGTTTGGAGAGGTGGTGACGCCGTCCTGCTTCCCCCACGCCGCTCTTTGTTCCGATAGCATAGTTCCAATAGTTTATTTTCGACAATGTAATTCTGGCAATAAAATCCTCTCGTATGTAGTTGAACTCACCAACCGCTCGTCACCCATTGAGCACACGATAGCACAACGGACGGGGCTGTATGTGGATTTTAGTTTCGTCATACATACAAGACGAGACCGTGTGTGTGTTGTTCGCCACGACCTGACAGGCGCCGGGTGACCTGTGATTAGAATTAGTTAGGTTGGTAGTTCAAAACACATGGATGTTAGCTATGTCGATGCTTTTTCATCGTGTGCATTTACCGGCGGGGTTTGGCGGTCGGTTTGTGGTCGTCAGGGAGCACCACCAAATCGGCGAAGTCGTCATACTTCCACTGGGAGATGACGGGGAATCTTCGGTCGATTGCGTTTTGGGGGATCGAGTTTGGCGCGCCACAGCCAGGGGAGGCTGAGCTTGGGGAGGCTGAGCTTGGGGAGGCTGCGTCCGGGAAATGGAACTGGATAAGAGGCAGTTGTGTTCGGTTGAGTTTGGCGAATTCCTCCTGAATTGCTGTAGACCAATGCTTAAATTCTGTTGGAGTACATGGGTCGTGTACAACGACCGAGAATGAAGAGACCGATCCGGAAGCGTTGGCGGGCACTTGGGCGGGGACTTGGAGAAGCAGGGAGGGCAGGAACGAAATGTTATCGACGATTTTCACGCCAAAGTCCACATCCCGCACGAGCGGGCTTTCACACTTTAAGAGTGGGTGGATGTGCATGAACTGCTTCACCCAGTCATTCACCTCCACTCCCTCCGTCTTCTGGCTCAAGAGGGCCGCGATCCACTTCTCCGGATCCGTCGCTGCCGCCGGGTCGATACAATCAGGGGACACTGGTGGCGCCGGGTGTTTGTGCATCACTGACAAGACGGCGTATAAGCACTGCGCCACACTGCGAAGCAGGTGACCGCGAAGCGAGTTATTGTAGTCATACGTCTTCTGCAGCGCCTGCAACTCTACCGGCGTCAATTCCCGCGCCGTTGTCGGGAACATTCCCGTGCCAATTGACAGGGTAGGCAACTCCTCCATAATTTTGAACGCGTCCGTGAGCAACTTGGTAACTGGCAACTCTTCTCTATCCGGGACAGCCGACCGCAGTGTAAGCCACTCGAAGGCCTTGACCATGTCCACCCACTCGCCATTCACGCCAAAAGGCATCGCCACGCGCGCGAGAAATCCCCACCCACAACAGACTCGACCTGTGCAAACGCGAGCACCAAAACACTTCATGGCTATTAAAATTTCGGGCACCGAAGTTTGGTGACCAAACCCGTACGACCTCAGCCCCGTGCTACCACCTCAGCCCCGTGCTACCATCGCTTGCTCCGTCGTGTGCATAAGGCGCCGTAAGTTGCCCCAAAGAAACGCTTCAAGCTTTTTCTCCGTTTAATTCGCGGACTGCTGGAACAAAGCCATGTGGAAGACGGCTGCACTCCTAGCAGGCGGCGCCGGCCTGGCAGTCGTCGCCACGCCGCTGGTCCTCGCGGGCCTCGGCTTCACCGCGGGCGGCGTCGCAGCCGGTTCGCTCGCAGCCGCCGCACAGTCCGCGTTCTACGGCGGCGCCACTACCGGTGCCTTCTCTGCACTCCAAAGTGCCGGCGTCCTCGGAGTCGGCGCCCTCGGCACCACAGTAGCCGCAGCCACCGGGGCCACCGCAGGCAAACTCACACACACGCACACAAAGTGACACGCGCACACAGTGTGGCGCACACACAGTGTGGCGCACACAGTGTGGCGCACACAGGCGTAAAACACAATAGCGTGACACTCTTAGGCGGTTTAGCGGCCGGCGTCCTAAGGCACGCGGGCCAGAGGGAAATGGGTGGAGGGCTGGAGGATGGGAGCAGTCGAAACGAAGACAGTGAGGTTCGACCCAAGGAGGACCCGGCCGAGGAGGATCCGACGGAGTCGGATGGCGCGAACGGCACCCGCTATGGCCGACACCCCGCGTTGAGGCGAGTGCTGGCTGCGGGGGGGGGGCCGGCTTCGAAGCCCCACAGTTTTACATTGCCGAACTAGCCAGCTAATCCCGGCGCTCGAAGCCCAAGCTGTCGGGGCGGGAAACTACAGTAAGCCGGGTGAGCGCGTACATGGGGGGGGGGG